GCAGGTCGCACATAGGTGTCCAGTGGATAACCGGGTGAGTCAAAGCTTGGAATTTAGATATCTGGAGCTAGTGTTTCAGACAACATTCTACAACTACAGTATAGCTGGTTGTACAAAGTCTAATAAAGTTTTGGCATGACTGCCGAATTTTATAAAAAAAAAAAAAAAAAAAAAAAAATACTTACGCATGTGTTTTAGCTTCAATTGATGTTTGTGAATCTACCGGTTGATTTGTTTTATAAAAATCTATACTTTCATTAACTTCAGTATGTGTTGCATTTCTTAATTCATCTGATGCAAATTCGCATATCTTTGCTCCAGTACAAATTCTAACTGATTTGTATACTTTGCATCCTAAAAATTCACATTCGACAAGTTTTTTTCCACCACCTTCACCAGTATTATATTGAATCTATATAATAAAATTTAATTAAATAAGTTCTATTATTATAATTAAATCTTTTTATAAAATTATTACTTACATCAGAAAATGCTGAATTAAAATCATCCCATTCTGAAACATTATAAATAGTTGCTATACCCTCCAAGGATGTTGAAGGATATTCAATTGAAATTGGTGAATATCGAATTTCACTAATATGTAATTTTTTTGTAAAGTAATTATAAGAAATCTCAGAAATTTCATTAAGATCATCATCTTGATCGATCTAAATAACAATATATAAGTTGTATGTATAATTAATAAATATTTATTACTAAATATATATACTAACAATTTCAATTTCTGGAATCTCATTATCAGAAAGATTTTCATTTGTAATAATCGATGAGCTTGTAATATTAGTTGAAATTGCTAAATCTGTAATTTCTGAGGAGGTAATTGTCGAATTTGCACTTTCAATTGAATCAGTTGTTAAATCGATAAAATTATCATAGAGGGACGTGGAAAGGTTGGATGATTCAGATCTTAAGATACTGTATTATTATATGAAGTACTTTGAGATTCATTTGATATAAAGCTTGAATCGCTTAAAAATGAAGAATCTGATCTATCCATGGATATTTTCTTAGAAATAATACAAGCGACATTAGTATTTTATTTATTTAAATAATAAAAAATTGATTTGTAATCATATATTTTATGCAATAAAAAGTTTAATTATGAAATATAAATTACATCTCATCAATATTAAATAATATATATAATTAATCAATTTAATATAGTATTTAACGTTAAATAGGTTCGCTATGTATAATAAATTTTATCCATATATTTAATATTAAATATTATTCATTCCAATACTTGACAGTACGTATAATTTGCATACTCTATTACTTTACAGTATAATTTTTTGCATACTCGATTACTTTACAGTGTAATTATCTATATTTAATAGTCTAGTAGTACTTTAGAGTGCTTAAACAAATCACACGGCACTTTGTTTTTAATAGGCACGGATACTCTGTAAGTATATATTCCTATATCTAAGTATGGTATTTAAGATACTAAGAAAAGTTAATGTCTTGTTTTTTTCAATTGCTGCAAAAAGTGCATTACTTAGTTGACTTTCAAGAGTATGCCCTCTTACACCAAATTCTAATCTCTTAAGGTTTTGGCTTGTACGAAGAATCAATGTAACCATGATTTATTTGGATCTATTTTAAGGTTGATAAGCATCCATTTTCTAATTTCTTCAATATCATAGAAACTTTCGTAATAAAATGAAATCATAATTTATTTTCAGTCTCATATTGGAATAAAAATTTATCATCAGAATTTAATCCTGCGATCAATTTTTCTATTGTTTTTATGCTCTTAAAATTCGGTTCTTTCCATAGTATTGGCACTATAGCTTGAAACCATTTGTGGTTTAGCACAAGGCATAAAGCAGAGTTTTATTGTCGGTGTGTTTTAAAATTTCAGTTTCTAGTGGAAATGGTGGTAATGGAGACATCTTAGGCGTGAGAAATTTGATTATCATACAGACGACAGAAATTTTATTTATATACAAAAAGGGAATCACCTCATTTATCAGGATGAGATCATATGATTACAATGTTAATTTTGAGATTGAACATCTACTTGATATAAGTTATAAATAAACTTTATGAATTTTGTATATGATAAATTATATTTTATTCACTTTCTCCAAAAAAAAACAAAAATAGCATTACGCATTGTTTTACCTTTATAACTCTAATTATCTAAAAATCTACCAAAATTGATTCTAATTATATACATGTATATGTACGTACCTAAATAAAAATCTAAGGAATAAAAAAATGCTTTGCTATTCTATGATTACATGAGACTTAATGAATAGACGGTAAATAATAGGAAAATTGCTAAATCTCTGTATAAACAAGAGTTCTCTAAATCCGATTAAATAAGATTTATAATTATTAGATCATCAATTGTGTCGACATTCTACACAGAAAATGTGTTCAAAAAAATCCGTCAGATTCAACTAAATTTCTGTTCAAGAGGTTGGATGATATGTTTTGGGAATCGCAGGCTGAACATATAATCATGACGTCTAAGAGTTTACAAAAGAAATAAGATAATTAACGTCTTTATTGTATACAGTAATTAAATTGTTAAATGTCTGAAAGAAAACCTACTTTTCAAGAATAATTTCCCATGTATCAGGATTAATCTTAACAGGTGTCTCTCGAACTCGGTCATCAAACATTACGTGGTATCCTCGCTCTGAAAGAACGTCCATGATCATGTCAACAAGATGTTGGTTTTCAAGTTGCTGGGAAGTCCTAAAATGTATATATACATTTTTAATATAATGAATATATTAAGATACAAGATGGCATATATATTGAAGTTCATACGTTCGAATAAGAGCCTGTCCGCTGATAGCATGACGTTGAACCACTGGGATAACATTACTGTCCACAAACTCGATTGCTTTTATAAAAAGTTCTGGCTCAGTATCTTGATAATGCTCAAGTCGACTAATTAAATCTTGTCGAGCATGAATACCGATTTTTGTTGAGAGTGGGATATGTGCGATTGAATCGTATGTCGTGTGATCTAAAATGAAATAATGTTTAATAAATATTAATAGAGGAAAGCATAGATAAAAAATATGAATGTGATAAACATGCAACATACCAAGTTCGAGAGAACTTTGATACTCAAATTCTTTTAGAATCAATTTCATAACCTCTTCAATCGATCCAACAGCATTGATTAAGTCTGTGAATAGATTTTAATTATGCATGAATAAATTTAAGTGTCTGAAATATTAACTACAAAACCTTTATTTTATTATTATTTATTTTACTTACGGAAAGGGAAAAGTTTTCCAAGCTTCATCAAAGCTCCAAAATGTTCTCGGAATATTTGATAACGTGCTCTAATCAACTATAATGATATAATAAATGATTATTATGACTTATGATGACCTACGATAACTAGATATACAAACACATTATAAACAATTAATACACCCTCAACTAAATACGAACCATTTCATCATAATCCGTAACTCGTTCTTCCACTAATTCCCCCTGTCCCGTTCGTCGAACTGTTTCATTATGCTCTCTGATTTGTCGCCCTCGTTGCAATTGGCGAACGACAGAAACTTCTTCGTCAACATATAACACACAGATACGAAACGTTGGACGACTATATATAATTATCCATTTTCGAAAAATCATTATTCTGAACCTATCAAATAATTTTAATTAAATATTTACACTTACGGGAATTTATCTTTCAATGGTGTTCCCCAGAATTCTCGACGCAATTCATGCATCTTGTCATAAAGAAGTTTCAGACATTCCACCTGAATATCTGTACGAGGGAATCCATCCACAAGGCTACCCACTATCGGATCACAGTTAAGAAGTGCACGTAACAAATTCTCAAGAACCTTTCCATCACCTATTAATATAATTGTTTTATTAAATATCTTACTTATTAAAATGTATTTAATTCTTAGTTCAAAGAAAAAACACGTACTAATCATTTTGCCCTTATTTATTAGATCTTGACAATCTGGTGTAGTTAAAAGTGCCGACATGCAGATGGAAGGATTGGTAATGCCACGCGCTTTTAAAATCAGATCTGTGTGCGTCCCTTTACCGCTACCAGGTGCACCCATTAACCAGATAATCTCTCTCGGAAGACTACATTCGTATTATAATTTCATGAATACATTAATCACTGTTAATAATTAAATTATATGCATATATGCGCATAATATCGGTCTTACCAAAGATTTTCTCGACCAAATTCGTCTTCAATATTTTTCCAAGCCTGATTAAATATGAGTTTTGCATTTTTAATTTCATTTATTCTGTATTACAAGATTAGAGAATTAATATCACATTAGTCGTGTAATCCCATTTCTAAATTTAGCATAAACAACTAACAATTACACTAAGACATTCTTATCAATTGGACAGTTTTTGACCAAATTTTTCGTATGGTCATCCCATAACTGTCAAAATTGTCAAAAAAATATATCACCAGACTAACCTTTGTGTTTCTTCTTCTGGTAAAGATTGCACCTCAGTGGTCAAGGCGGGTGATGTAACTATTTCTAACAGAAAAAAAAATAAAATAAAAAAAATTGCCATTAAAGTATAAATTATTATAAACTGCAATTTATATAAATCGGATCGGATATATGCTAGTTTATTATTACCATTAACTCGAGCAGTGGCTGTAGGTAAATATCGGACTAACGCCATATTGGGACGAACTTTTGGAATATCGACATTTGATGTTCTTTGATAAACTCTACCGTTTTCTACCAACGATTTAACGCTTTTACACTTTTCTGCAGTAGGCCTCGTGCTAGAATTGCCAATACCATGTTTAAGTGTTGAAGTTGAAATAAAAAACTTATTCCGTTGTGATAAAGTTGTTTTATTCGTTTGTTTTAAGACACTCAAGACACTCGGAGAATTAAGGAATGAAGGTATTGTGCGTGAGGAAAAACCACGACTCATGTTAGATGAGGCGTTCCTTACACGTGATGTAAGGTGTAATGGTTTTAAAACAGAAGACGAAAAACCAAGCATTTCTTTCAAAGAAATGATGTCTAATGTTTGAAAAAAATAGGTTTAAAATAATTGTATAATTCTATATAGTAATGAATCGGCCTTTATTAAATTCCTCACGCTAGCACGAGGCTACGCCAAAGCCGAAGAAAAAAAAGTAATGATAATGATAGTGAATATTTTTGGGATCAAACTGCTGCTGTACTGAATTATATCCGATTGTCAAAATCAATTTAATACCCATTTTTGGAAAAGATATTTTTAAATTTCCGCAACTTGCATATATTATATTCTTGTTAAAACTTGATCAATTTTATAAGATTTAAATAATATCGATATATAGTAAATTATAAATATAAAATAAATGAACTATTGAAAAAGAGCCCTTCGGGAAATTTCTTATTACAAATGATAACACTGCATATATTTTTTTTTAAGCATTGCGTATACGCTTCAAATTGTTTGAAATATGATCCAGAAACTCATCAGTTGTGACGTAGTGTTCACGCTTGAGACTTGAATAATGAAAAAGAATGGACGTTAGAATTGTACTATGAAAGTGTATTTATCAAGCATATAACTTACTTGCTGCCATGGAGCGCTAATGCGAGATCTTTTGTCATTTTACCCTCAACATCTACCGTTTCAGTGCACGCCTTCTCCAGATCTTGTGTAAATTTTAATAATCCTTGATTATCATCCAATCTTGCCCTCTGTGCTAGACCACGTGTCCAGGCAAATATCGACGCAATTGGATTTGTAGAAGTTTCGTTGCCCTAATTTAAAAAGTATTGGAATACTATTAAAACACGTAAATAATGGTAGTAATCTATAAAATTTATTAAGCTATCAAGATTTACTTGTTGATATTGGCGAAAATGCCTTGTTACCGTACCTACAAAAAAAATTTAAAAATTAAATATATGGTATGTAATAAATATCGATTAGTTATTTAAAATTCGTACCATGAGCAGCCTCGGCTTCCATAGTTTTGCCATCAGGTGTAACTAGCACGCTGGTCATTAAACCTAGCGACCCAAATCCTATATTGTAAAATATATGAACTATATATTATTATGTCCTGTAAAGTTAAAATAAACAACCATTTATAAATTCGTTAATACCTTGAGCTAAAATATCGGACTATATGATTATTTTTTTCAATAATAATCTTTCATATTAACAGCTCTAGAAAAATAATTCGACTTGTTAAATCATACCTGTACATCCCTAATAAATGCATATAATAATAGAATATCAAAATTGGTAAATTATTATGATTAAAAAATTTTTAAAAGACAATCAAAGATTGATTTTATTACCCATCATAATTTTTGGTTGCCCATACAAATCCACCACTTGATTTAAGAGCTTGAGCGACCATATCATCTATGAGTCTATGCTCATACCATATTTTCTTTGCTTCATATTTATCTTTATAATCTTTTTCATATATTTCATGAAAAATATCTTTGAATCTTCCATCATACTTTTTCAAAATAGTATTTTTGGTACTTAAATACTAAATTTTGAAACATTTATGTTAAACTTATTTTCGTAACTTTTATAACATTAAATACAAAGATATAATTATCGATTACCAAAGGCATTTCTAGCTTTAAAGCCATTTGAAAACTGGCATGAGCAAAACCTGTGATAGACTAAAAATATATTTATCATCAATACATTTAAGTTTATACACTATCAGTAATTTCTATCAACAATGCAGATACCTCATCTGTGTTATACATAGCCATAGAAACTCCAGGAGACTAAAAGAAATAAATAAATTAATATGTATATATATTAATTAAATAAGATATAAGTGAAAATTTATAAATGTACCGTGAACTCATATACTAATTCACTCTGTTGGTTGGAACCATCGTCAGGTTCAAAAAGTAATTTAAGTTTACCAGGGCGGTCGACTCTAATTTCTGTGGCTTTATACTATTAAAGATTTAATTATATATATATAATTAAAAGCTAAGTCAATAAGGAGCCAATAAGATTAAGATTGTATCCGAACCTGGTCTCCAAATGCATGTCTTCCAATAACTATGGGTTTAGTCCAATTGGGAACTACGCGCGGAACTTTCTCCATTAGAATTGGTTCACTAGTAAAACATGTAATAATATTTCAACCAAACAAGTAAACAAGATTGAACTCAATTCTGCTGTTTAAAATGTTTTTGCTGACCGAAATACGACACCATTCAATATATTACGAATTGTCCCATTTGGAGATTTCCACATTTTTTTAAGGTTGAATTCTATAAAAAAAAAAACCTTATCTTTAATAATAACAATAAATGAAAAAAATTGAATATTACTTAAATCTCAAGCTAACCTTTAACTCTTTGTTCATCTGGTGTGATTGTTGCGCACTTTATACCTACATTATATTTCTTGATAGCCTCAGCAGCCTCTACGGTCACTTGATCATTAGTCTAATAAAAAGAATATATATATATATATATATAAGCAAATAAGAAAAATAAATTTATCGAATAAGTATATTTACTTACAGCGTCGCGGTTTTCAATTCCTAAATCATAATATTTGGTTTCAACTTGGACATATGGGAAAATCAACTACGAAATTAAAATGAATTATCAAAAATTTTTATTATTCTTTTTTTCGATTTTTATTGTATTAAAATTATTAAAACTTATGGATTTTTTTTTTTTTACATTATCCTTGATCTTGCCCCAAATTATTCGAGTCATTTCGTCTCCATCTATATCTACTACTGGATTCTTCACAACGATACGCGAGCCTTGTGTATCTGAAAAATATATTTTTTGTGAAAATTTTTCGATACGCGACGAATTTGATACTTAAACATCAAATTATACTAATAAAGCATACAATGCCGAATCTTTATAGCTATTGGAGCAATTGGACCAAAATTTTTTTCTGGTACAATAGCAAATTTAAAAAGGTTTGCTTTTGAAAATGAGCGATACATTATCGTTATCGTTATTACAGTATTAACTGTAATATAACGAATATATAACGATAATCTGACTTATTTATTTTAAATTGTTGTGCAACCACCGATAATAAAAAAATGATATTGATAATCTACATCACGTTATTAGAATGTCAAATAACTGATATAATTGATCGATCGATTGATCGATCTGTTTTTTTCGTGTCATAAAACAATGACACCTTTTAATCTACCACGTTTTTATAAAAGTATATCTTTAACGACCTCTTTATTATCCAATTTTAAATTATCGCACAGAAGGTGTTTTGATATAAAACGATATGCTAGTACCTCTGCTATATCCTCCGAAAATTCAACGCAGAATGTTGACCCCGCAGATTTGGTAAGTTGTAATGAATGCAACATATTGTAACATTTTATAGTAAAAGCACGAAATACAATAAAGTAATATCCATTTTTGATAGCTTCGTCTTCAGCGACTGCGCAATATTGGTATTAGCGCTCACATTGATTCCGGGAAAACAACATTAACCGAGAGAGTTCTTTATTATACTGGACGAATAAAGTAAATCAATTTAATAAATTCAGTTGTTTAAACTAAAATTATAAATATTAAATGCTTAACTTAGTTAAACCTTTCAATAATTAGATCGATTCACGAGGTTCGCGGAAAAGATGGTGAAGGTGCTAAAATGGATAGTATGGAGTTGGAACGCGAACGAGGAATAACTATTCAATCTGCCGCTACATATTGTAATTGGAATTGGAAAGATCATGGAGAATATAATATCAATATAATTGATACGCCAGGTTAGTTTATACCAGTAATAAAGATTATTATACACTAGTATAGTATAAACTAAATCATTTCGATTCATTGTCTCGGAAGGTCATGTTGATTTTACAATCGAAGTTGAACGCGCTCTTAGAGTTCTTGATGGTGCTGTATTAGTCTTGTGTGGTGTTTCTGGAGTCCAGGTATGTTTTGTATATTGCAACTATCGCGTATGATTAAGAGATTATCAAACCATATAATTAAAAATTCATAGAGTATTTTCAATGCGCGTGTTGTTATATTATTAGAGTCAAACTATCACCGTAGATCGTCAAATGCGTCGATATAATGTTCCTCGTATATCTTTTATTAACAAATTGGATCGGTACGTTTATTTAAACTTTGAGTTATAAACTTTTATTCATTTTTATTTACGCGTTTATATCAATTAGTATTGGAGCAAATCCTTTTAATGTCATTGAACAAATTCGACAAAAGCTAAAAATTACTGCCGCTGCCGTGCAAATCCCTATTGGACTCGAAGACGACCTAAAAGGTGTCATCGATTTGATTAAATGGAAAGCTGTTTATAACGAAGGCAGCCGTGGGTAAGAATATATATTGTTAAAATTTATGATCTCTCATGATTAATTCCTTTTTAATTGATATTTGCGTTACAGTGAAAAAGTTATTGAGAAAGAAATTCCAGATGATCTTATTAATCTGGCAACTTCAAAAAAGCAAGAATTAATCGAAAATCTTGCTGATGTAGACGATCAAATTGCTGAAATATTTTTAATGGAAGAAACACCCACTAAGGAACAGTTAATGGTGTGTTCAATTCAAATTTAATAAATCTACTTCAATGTCACGTTTATATATAATCTAATAAGCTTTTACATGTGAATATTAAATAATGTTGAGATTTAGGATGCTGTTCGACGTGCAACTATTGCGAATAAATTTACTCCTGTTCTTATGGGATCAGCTTATAAGAATACTGGCGTACAACGCGTACTAGATGCTGTATGCGCATTTCTTCCTAATCCAAGTGAGGTGCATAATACTGCTTTAGATATTAATCGAAAGGAGGCTCGAGTTGATCTCATTCCATATTCAAAAAACCATTTTGTCGGTTTGGCGTTTAAACTGGAAGAAGGAAAATATGGACAGTTAACATACATTAGAGTCTATCAAGGAGCTTTGAAAAAAGGCTCTTTTATCACAAATTCTAAAACTTCAAAGAAAGTCAAAGTGCCAAGATTAGTTCGAATGCATTCAAACGAGATGGAGGTATTATTTGATTTGTTATTTATTTTTTCTGTTTCAAAATACATATTATTGATATCACATTAGGACGTTGATGAAGTTGGCGCAGGTGAAATTTGCGCTGTGTTTGGTGTTGAATGTTCTTCGGGAGATACATTCACTGACGGAGCATTGTCTTACACAATGGTATGTTCTCCATTAATTTTTAATTAAAAGAAATAACGAATGGTGAAATATATCGCTTGATTATGTATTGATGTGATGAGTTAATTGTTTTCGTAATATCACTGTTTCAGCGGACAATTTTTTTATATTTAGAAATAGAAGATTTCTAAAAAAATTTTCTAATTTGTTTAATATATAGACATCCATGTTTGTTCCAGATCCGGTTATTTCTTTATCGATCACACCAAATGTCAAAGACTCTCCAAACTTTTCAAAGGCCCTAAATAAATTTCAAAGAGAAGACCCTACATTTCGTGTTTCATTCGACCTAGAAAGTAAAGAAACTATTATTTCTGGAATGGGCGAATTACATCTAGACATTTATGTTGAACGCATGAAGAGAGAATATAATGTTGATTGTATAACAGGCAAGCCTCAAGTGGCTTTCAGAGAAACTATAATGTCAACAGCTAAATTCGATTATACGCATAAAAAACAGACTGGTGGGGCTGGCCAGTATGGTAAAGTAATGGGATATATTGAACCATTAAAGGAAGTAACGGACGAAGATGAAGAGCCACTTCCAGCATTTGAAAGCCGAGTCGTTGGTGGGCATATTCCAACCAATTTCATTCCGGCTGTTGAAAAGGTATTTTATTATTCATGTGTCAATAAGTTACATTTATATTTGTAATAAATAATTTTAATTAATTTAATAGGGTTTTCAAGATGGTCTCGAAAAAGGTTCCTTAATCGGTCATCCTATTAAAAATGTTCGGTTTATTCTTGAAGATGGAGCACATCACGCTGTAGATTCTTCAGAACTTGCATTTCGTCTCGCAGCGTTGTACGCATTTCGAGAAGCATTTATGAAGGCTAATCCTGTCATTCTGGAACCAATCATGAATGTATCTATTACAGCACCAATTGAATTTCAAGGGGCTGTCATTGGTAATTTAAACAAGCGAAAAGGTACTATTCTTGATACAGAAATTCAAGAAGATCATTTTGTTGTGACTGCAGAAGTTTCTTTAAATAGTATGTTTGGATATTCATCAGATTTAAGAAGTGCTACACAGGTAAATTAAAATAGTTTTTATATTTAATTATAAATGAAATTTTGTTTATTAACATAATTTCAAAAAAAAAAAAACAAATATAGGGTAAGGGCGAATTTACAATGGAGTACAAAACACATCAACCTGTTTTACCTTATGTTCAGGAAGAATTAATTAATGAATACAAAAAAAAGAAGTTAACGGAAAAAAAATAGATTAATTAGATTATTATTACAAAAAGACTATCTATTAAAAAGTAGCATATGTTTAGATAATAAAATTTGAAGTTTACTAAACATCCGAGTGATTTTATATCAGCGCGATCTCTTTTATATTATGATACCATATTACAAGGAAATCACTACGGGAAAATCTTCATTCACGTGATTTCACCTACCTATCAAAAGATACACGAGTAGATACACGTACGTGTCTAATGCTCGATAGTCTAAAAAAAATAATTTTTTTTTAAAAAAGGAATCGTGGCTAACTTTAAACTAGCCTAGTCAACATATGATTGAAAAGGAATAGTGAAATTAAATAGTAAATCATCTATAAAATTGATTATATAGATAACTATATATAACGATAAAATGGCTACGTATTTGATATGGATTAACGACCTACCTTTCACAGCTGGACGGTGGTTTAAATATTAGGATATGGTTATTTTTTATTTTTTTAACCAATTAAAATTCCATATGCAAAATTAATAGCTGATTGAATTCCGGCCTATTCCGAACCTCGATCTGCTGAATTTTGGCTGAATACTTTAAGCCACTATTTGATGCAACCTGCAAAATAGATATACAAAATTACGGGTATGCACTAAACTATTTAAGATAAAAAGGCGAAAAAAAAAACGGTTAATAGTAAAAAAAAAGATAATTTTTATATGACGTAATTATATAAAGGGTAACTATAAAGAGGTTTAACTATATATATACTCTTTCACTTGGGGTGCTCTTATATCAAGAAAATCCAGAGCTGCAGATCACTTTCTGGTCTGTTTCTAGAGGCTGATTTGTAATTAGTAAATTGATATTTTATATGAATCAAATAACTGAATTTTACAAATCTGTAAAGAAAATTTTATATTTTAAAGAAATATAAATAACAATTGTTTATATAAATGTTAAAGTAAATATTGAAGTAAATATTAGAATAAATATTAAAATAAATATTAAAATAAATATTAAAGTAAATATTAATATTGAAGTAAATATTAAATATTGAAGTAACAAGTTTTTTGCAGTTAAGAGCAAGAAGTTTTAGTAATTGATATTAGGATTTAATTATTGGTTGTTTGGATTGGAGGAAGAATCTATATTATCTAGAGTATTATATAGGCAGAAGTAATATAGAACCCTGGATAATAATAATAGAGGTATAAGCTAAATTAATAGTAAATTTTTAAATATTTGTTTACTGTTTTGGCTCAAACTTTTTTAAAATTCTGGCCAAATAAAAATTAAACTTTAATTTAACCAGAATTTAGAAAGGTTTGGAATGGTTTTAGTAATTGTACTTTTTTTAGAATTACCTGGAGTTTTAGTAATGTATTGAAAAGTTCTAAAGCAAGTAATTAGATGCATATAATGTGGTAATGTATAATGTAAAAAGTTGGGAATTAAATTAGTAATTTAAATGATAAGTATGATATATAATTTGTGAAAATTAAGTTTCAATTTATTTTAATTAATAAGCAATTTTTTGGTAATAGCAATTTTATGTTCAGAATTTAAGTT